TGGGATCATCATTTGTTGACTGGGCAGTGCCTGCCACTGACCTCATCTGGTTGCTGATAAGATAGTTCAGGGTTTGGTTTGGACCTATTTTTTGCTGACAAAGTTGATAGGCCCTTCTCAGGTTGCATTTAGTGTTCATCCCTAAGATTTTATCTTTGTAGAAGGGTCCGCTAGATTTTCCCAATGCCTCCTACTGGCTGTGGCATTTCAATTACTACAGTGACTACAAGAAGATAGGTTTGGCCAAAGCATCAGTGTGACAATGAAAGAAAGTCAACATATATCACTTCTCCTATAACCTCTTCCACTGCTTAATGGCCATTACTGCTTAAAAAAAAAACAAACCAACCAACAACCACCCCCCCCAAAAAAAAAAACCCACCAACAACAACCAAACAACAACCGACCAACAAACAAAACCAAACAAAACAAACAACAGCCTTATATCATAAATCTGTGCTCCAAATCTTGTCTAACACACACCACCAGGACTGGCCCAAATGACTATATTCCTCATCTCAGCAAGGTTAAGATGCTCCCTCAGCTCTTGGCCACTTGGAGAAGGTAACAGATCCCAACTCTGGAATCCTAAAGGGTTGAAATCAGATGAATTCTAACAGAATAAGGAATGTCCCTTCCTTTTTAATTGGAAGGGCTCTTTCTCAAGTACTTTGCCTGACTGCATCTCCAGCTGTTTCACTCTGGCAGTGACATGAACTACATCAGATAAGGAGCCATTTCCCAACATGTGTGTTCCTAAAGTTAACCTCATCAGAGCACGTATCACTTTGTTTAACCTTTTCATGTTCAAGGCACTGGATCTCAGGCTTATAACTTCACTGGTGAGAGGATCAGAGAGTTGCACAGACTGGCTTACCTTAGACCACCAGGGCAGTCATCTTCCACCTCAGGCTCACTCAGCCTCTAAGATGTAAAGAAACCTTTGTTATCCAATGCCTAGAGTAACACATCTTCAGGACCCTGCAGTGTGGGGAAGAACCACCTGCTGTGGGGTCCTCAGATTTGACATTGCTTCAAGGAAGCCAACAAGATCAGATACTGCAGGCACTGGCAGAGCAGGACTCTCTTGGCCTGTGACTGAACTTGAGTCTGGGGCACTCCTAGTCACAAGCACAAGTGAGATTTTGGGCAGTTGGAGATACTTAACAATGAACAGTGAGCCAGATAACAAGCTGTAGGTATGTCCTACAGCTGGGCGAGGGTATTTTGGACCACAGTTTCAGATTTGGGTACATCAATTCTTTTAAAGAATTTCTACAAGTAACTATTAAGGTCTGAAGTTGTTTTCTGGCTTCTTTAGTGTCTATAATCATCAGTTGAAAGTATCTGAAAATGACTGTCCAGGAGTCATGCAGAGAGTAGTACATTGTAAGGATCAGTGTATGTATTAAAAACACTCCGAATTACCAAAAATAGTGACAAATCTGTTCATGGAAGTAATAAAAATTCACACAAGAAATATACTTCTGTCTATTCCCCAAAAATACAAAAACCCTAGACAAAGCTGTGGTGAAAATTGAGAAACAGCAGCTAAATTCAATGTATGTTCTTGCCTATAAAGCAAACCCAATCACAGCTTATGTGTTAGGATATGCAAGAACCTGTCTGAACATTTAGGCTAGACACAAGGATTTGAAGAAATAATGCATGGACTGGTACAGTGGTTATACATAACTACAAAGATCCCTTAAGATCCCTTGAGACTTCAAGGAGTTTGCTTCTAGGCAGTAAATGTGAAGCCTAAATCCTATGGGAAATTGTACAAAGGAGAAAGTTAGAAAAGTCAAATACATGATGGACATTAAATGGTTAACCATCATATTGATAAAAGCAAGAAAACACTCATTAGTCCCACCTCGTCACTGTGCAATTGGACATCATGTTTTCAACACCCCAGCTGTAACCTGGCTTGATGCCCTCTCCTGCCTTTATGTGGAAAAATTATCCTTTCTCCCATTATGCCAGGCAGATTATTTTGATCTTCACCTTCTCCCATGGATGCTTCCTTCAAACAAGAAGGTGACAATCACTTAGTGAATGGTGACCATGCATCAGGATGGTCACCACGTGCAGTCAGGATTGTCATCAATGCTTTGCACAAGTGAGTTGACTCCTATCTCGCCGAGACCCAGTTCAGGTCTGAGCTTTTCCAGCCCCATCTCCACTTTTTGTCTAAATTTTGATAAATGCCATTCGAGATGTCTGGTCTTTGTTCCAGGATAACAAGCATTTTTCTTGCATGTTAATTGTTAATTCTGCCTGAATATGTCAATCTCGGTGTGACTCCCTACCAGCTGTCCAGCAAGACAGAGCCCAGGTATCTCTATGACAGTCTTGTGACTTCGTCATTCATGTGACTCATTAACAGGCTAATGATGCACGGACACAGAAAGGAGATGAAGTTGAGGGAAAGAACTGGAACAAGAGACTGAGGAAAACAGTAACAGAAAAGAGAGATTTCCTGGTGGAAATCAATAGATTGACCCCACGGAGACCTGCTGTGTCTCTAAAGCTGTTTGTCACAAGGCCATAGGAGCTGTGAGCAGTGAGGTCTGGCAAGCGGAGGCAAGCCCTTTGGCACCACCAGCTTTCCTGTAGAGCAAGACGGTAACAGACAAATCCTGATCAAGAGACTCGTTTCCGTTTGGGTATTGCAGTCCCAGCACAGTTTGATTTAAGTATAACTGTTGACTTTGGGCTCAATTAAGCACGTTATGGAGAGTGCTACAGAAGAAAGAAGTCAGAAGAGCAGAATTTGAGAGTGAGGGGGAGGAAAATGAACTGAATAGGAGGAAGATCTGAAGACAGAGGTAGTGAGTTCCTTAAAATAGCAGTGCTTGCCTTTGATGTAAAATACAAAATCTTGGGAGCAAAATGAGATAAGAGACTAAACAGATGGTAAGAGGAGGGATTCAAAAGTGAAATGATGCACCAGAGCTAGATATGAAGTAAATGATGCAGAAGTGGACTTAGCATAAGTGACAGCAGATAACCATCATGTTTTTATCAGAAAAGCCCTTTGCAGTATTTGTAAGCTATACCATCAGCAAAATATATTGAGAGCACTTGACTTGTTTTCCTCTCTACAAGAAGAGACTTGTTTTGAAGTTAAAGCAGATAAAATATGTTTCTGTGTGAGGAGTTTGTAGATGTCGGTATGTTAAAACATTACTTTAAAAATCTTTCACGCCCAACAGTTACATTCATTTGCTTATCTCTATAGCACTTCAAAAAAAAGTCATATCACAGCTCATTTTGATCAAAACAGGAATGCTTCTAAACCATTCTTATCTTTTCATTGATCACTACAATATAGAGGTTTCATTCTTCAGCTGGGAACTTGTTTTTTTTCCCGTCTAAGTTAAAGCTCTAAATCCAAACAGCTCCAGGTCCTACCAACTACATGCTCCAGGGAGTTATGAATTTTTTAGATTGGCCCTTGCTTGTGAGCCAGTTCCCACCAGGTGGTGAGTCACAGGTCCATCATTTGGAGTCTGGTCTTGGAGATGAACTTCCCAGCTTGGATCCATCTCAAATTCTTTTTTTTTTTTTTCTCCAGGAATGTTGGCTGCTCAGCAGAAAAGTGCCACATTGTCATGTATATTTCTTTTCCGCTTTGCCAGATTTACAACATTATCTGTGTTGTACCAGTTTCTTCCAGCTGTGACAAAGTCAGTCAATATTTTTTTTTACAAAATTCAACTGGTAATAATTTACTCCCTGTAAAAGAGAAGCACATGAGTGTGAGCAAGGAAAAGCAAAATACTTCGAACAATACTGCAGGCTGTATGTAAGGGAAGAGATCTCCCCCGGTGTGTGCAGTAGCAGGAGGCTGTGCCAGCCTCCCACCCAGATTGCCTCCCACCTGCACTGCAATCACAGGGGCTGAAATTCAATCCTTTGTTTACTTCTGCCCCCTGAGGGATGAAACCCCGAGATAAGGCTGCTTCGCATAAATCATCTCAGAATTTCTCTCCGTCTCGGGTTTCCACCCAGGTGATGTATATTATAATTTGTGAATGATCTCTACTGCCTGACCTGCAATTAAGGAGTTTCTTGGTCCTCTGAAGTACAGCTCAGCTCTCTGTCCCATGAGCTGCTAATAGGATACCACTCTACTTTGAGTGCTGCTCCCTGCAAAGGTACAGGGAAATGCAAAAAACCCTCCAGGTCCTTAGGGACAGACCTCACCCTCAGGTCCTCACCCAACGAAGCAGCCCAGCGTTTAGATGAGATCCCACCTGCATGCAGAGTTGGAGGGTTCAGCTCGCCATGATCATGTCACTAATTGTTCCTCCACCTGCACAAACCGTTTTCAGTCCCAGCATTTTCTCCTGGTTTGTAAATAATAGTGACCTGTGAAGAAGTAAGTTTGCCTCCTACCTGATGCAGGCCCTGGGAGTCCTTCATTTCTGTAATAGCTAATCTGTTCCTAAATGCAAAGGGGAGCCAGGGAATAAAAAGGAAAGGAGAGATTAGTAACAATTCTTCTTTCTACCCAGAGTGCTAAAGGTTAAGGCTGTGAGATGTTATTCTTCCAGCAGTTTGGAAATATTTTCTATAAACTGCAAATCAGGCTTAATTACAGCTCTTCCTGTGACTTCCCCCCTCCCCTTTTTTTTTTTCCTTCCCCCCTGCAAGGTGGGGTGAGCAAACCAAGGTACAAAATGACATAGCTAGCGTACTCCAAACACAACCACCCTTCCCAGAGCCCTTCCCATGGGCTAGGCTTTCCAGGCTGGCTGTAGGGTGGGTAACCAGCAGGGAGTAATTGCCTTTGGATGGAAATCACAGTAATTGCTTGCTGTTAAAAGACACTGTTGTTTCCTTCTGTAGTATTTCTGGGAGGACATGAAGAACTGGAAGGGGGAGGCTTATTAATGAGGCGAAGCAATCAGTGTTTTTGTAGGCTTGTTTGTTATACTGCCCATGTCTGTGTAATGTAAATGCAAATAAACCCATCTTTATTTTATTCATAGTTCTAATGGAAAGTCTGTGTCATGGTCTGAACCAGGTGGAAGACAAGCTCCCAAGGGGGAACACATGTGGCACAGACTCTCAGTGCATGTGAAGAGCCAGGAGACAGGGTGCAATCAGACAGCGGTGATCAAACCCCTCACTAAAAGCTACCACGGCCAAAGCAAGAGCCTGACTTTTACCGACATCAGCAGTAAGACTCTGTACAATGTGGTGGAGGAAGGAGATAGAGAGCCCATTCACCTCAACCAGCCTGGCAGCCCCTCCATGGTGGTGCACAGACGGGTGACCTCAACCCCTCCACTGCAGGCCACAACAGAGGAGACCCACCTATTCTTGCCTGAGCAGCCCCCCAAGACCCTGCCCCTGCAGCCGAGGTCTCTCATGGACCAGCTGCAAGGAGTGGTCAACAAGTTTTCCACCGGCATCCCCGACTTCAACGCTGTCCTCCCTGCTCCTGGCCTGGGGAACGGTGTGCGTCCCCCTTACCAGCCCCCTCCGCCAGAGCAACTGCCCCTGCCACCTCTCCAGGTGTCCACCTTCAGCGAGGAGCCCCTGTCTCCTCCAGCTGAGGAAGTGGAGAGTGAGAAGCTGAAGCTCATTCAGGGATATGTCTATGAGAAGAACCCAGAGGAGGAGGAGGATGAGGAGCCGGCGACCAGCAAACTGACTCTGGAAGACTCTCCGGCGCTGACGCCTCCATCCCCTTTCCGGGATTCCGTGGCTTCGGGCAGCTCAGTGCCCAGCTCCCCCGTCTCAGAGTCGGTGCTCTGCACCCCCCCAGATGTGACCTATGCCTCTGTCATCCTGAGGGATTATAAACAGAGCTCGTCCACCCTGTAGAGGCTGCAAGAGACAAGACGAGAAGGAATTTGGCAGCTGCCTGCTGGGATGTCCTGGGGAGACAAGTCTCCCAGGGCTGGGGGGAGAGAGAGCAAAGAACAAAGTCACATATGACAGAGCAAAAATTTCATCCTGAACTTCAGTAAATAAAAGGAAAGAAAAAAAACATCCATTCTGAGGGCTCAAAATTCTCTAGCTGTTAAAAATAAAAATACTGTACTTTGAGAAAATGATAGGAAACCATAACAAAGCACAAACCCAAGAGACAACTTCTATAGCAAAAAAATGAATAAACACACAGGACAAAAAAATAATAACCACACTTAGTCACACCCTCTCTTGGCAATGCTTGAAAAGGACTCTGGGAAGTGTGACCTGGAGAAGTCATTAGCACATCTCATGACTGCTGTCTGTCTGCTGCAGAAGCAACACACCCAGGAGTTGGAAGGGCGGAGTGTGGTGAGGAGGAAAGAAACTACTTGTATATGAGACATATATTTTTTCCTGGTTTCCATAGGTGGTATAACTGCATAATGTGTTTGGGGGAGAGGAGCTGAGATAATCTGAAAGCACATGGCTCTTACTGACTTTTGTCTGAACAATTTGTTCTTCGTACTAGGCTGCTTTTTGGGGAGATCTGGGCTTTTTTTAATACTGATTGTGAACAGAGCAAGAAATATGATCAAGTAAAGACTCAAGAGGTTTCTGAAGAAAGCCCTTGATGTAGTACTTGTAATATGATAAGGACTGAGAAAAACTGCCCTTTTGTATAAGATTGCAAACCACGTGGCTAAACTGTTACACAACATTTCCTGTAGCAGAACAATATTTATTGACTAACTTTTCATAATACAACATATTTGCCATGTGATTACATCATTCCTTTGTGTTACTTTGGAATCAAATACATTGGAAAATAGCTGTATACTTAGAGCAACAACTATTATTCTGAAAGAAAGGCAGTTCCATGCTGTGGGTTATAGAGTCAGTCTTGAACTAAGAGAGTGAGCGTACGTTTGTGTTTCTGTATGCGTGTGTATGGTATGTGTGAAGCGTAACGTCCAATAACTACCGCTGGAAGATTGTCGTATATACTATGAATATTTTTATGTTTAAATCATGTTTTATATCACATTGTTACAAATATTCAATAGATCTTTGGAGGTTTGTATGCTGTGCTAACACATCTTTTTCATATACAAGCTGAGACAATTGTTACCCTTATAATAGGGTGCTTTATTTTGCAGATATTTTATGAAGTAGACATATGGTATTAATAAACCAGTGCATTGAAAACTTGTTATTTTACATGTTCACAGCAAGTGTGGTTAACAAAAAAAAAAAAAAAAAAAAAAAAAAAAAAAAAAAAAAAAAAGAAAATGCAAAAAGAAAAAAGTCTGGTTTAGGAGTCTTGCACATGCCAGTATAAAGGTGAGACAGGAAAGGTAATTAAACTACCTTGTTGCTTCAGATAACTTAAAATCATGTCCAGACAGGAAATTTCATCAGTGCTTAATGTGTGCATAAAATCCCACAGTTTGTTACAAACAGTTCTTTTAATCACTTTACGATGTTTAGTTGTGTGTTCATGCGCTTTCACTTCTATTTAATATAAAATTATTGTATCTTCCAGGCAGCTGTAGTTCTGTCACTCATTTCTCCTCCTCTATCCTTCATCAGTTTCCTAGAGATGGGCCTAATCCAAAGCTCCCTAATGGCTGGCATGTTCAAAGTCCAGGTCTAATTGCTGTGGCTTGAACTTAATTATACTTATTATCACCCTATTTATAAATGTGCGTATTATACATATACAAAACAGGATTTTAGCTGCTATGAACTTTTATTGTGCTGTTGAATGTAGATGAGGATCTGTCCCACAGTTCTACACTTTATTTCCAAAGATATTTTTAAGAGATCACTTCATGTTAATACAGTTGCAAAACCTGATTTTAACCATGTTTGTTGTGAACATTCTATTAGGGTTTTTCTGAATTCAGCATATTTCTACTATTTTTCTTTCTTTTCACTTGAATTTTAAGAAGTTCTCCTGCCAGTCACCAATTCTTCTCTGAAGATCCAAATCTCATTGTCTTACTCTAATTATATAGCAGTGGTATTGGAAGGTTTGGCTGGTGCTCAAAACCTGATAGAGGCTTTTTTCCTCATCCTCTTTTCACGATGTTTTCTCCTTTCAATATGACTAGTGGCCAATTGCTATCATTGTCCCGATGTGAAAAGCATGAAATGACTTTGCCCAAAAACGTGGTTATATCTTTGTCAGCAGATTGATGTCTATAACAAACTAAAGACACCTGAGGTCAGTTGGTTAATTTTTGTCTCTTGGGGCTTTTAGGGTGATATTTTTTGTTGTTGCTTCTTTTTTTTTTTAATGCTGATTACTCATTAAAGCAATGAGAAAAATGCCATATTGTCTTTAATGATCACCACACTGGCAATGAATTATATCTTCTTATAATCTTAGTATAAGATTTGTTGTGCTGTTTCCAAAAACATATGTTGTCAGTAGCACAGAGCTAGTACCGAGAAGCTGGACTTTGAAGGAATGAAATATATAAGAAAAAGAAACATAACAGATTTGTAGAGATGGGGAGATGGCAATGTGGCAAGGTACTGTATTGTTTTCATATCTGTCTGTTTTGAACATATTAAGCACTGATTTTATTACTGAAATGTAATTATATCATGAGTAGAAGTTTTCTTGAAATTCAGTATATTAGCTTTTAGTTTGTAATTGTTAAAACTGGAAACATACACATACGTAAATATATCTAAAGAGCAAGATCTCACCCTGTGTATGTAGTTGTATGAGCTATGAAGCTTCCTGTAAAAGTTCTTTCTTTTGGTCTGTCAAATGCTTGATGAAAACTGCCTTTTTGTCAAAATGATCTTGAAAATGCTGTAAAATAAATATTTTCTATTTATTATTTAAAAAATAGAATGCCATGATTTTTAATTTTTACTTCCTAAGTAGAAAATAGCCATGTCTAGTGATTAATTGTTCCAGAGTTTTTCAGCATCGTGTGAGAGAGAAGGTGGGATGCTCAAATGGAGGTAGGTATTGATTAGATTGTAGCATGTGGGTGAGATAGTGGTGAGTTGGAAGATTTTGTTTAGAAAACAAAACCAGCTTTTTGGCTTCCTAATAAAATCGGGAGTATCATAGGTATGCATTTGAGCTGGCATGTTCTAGAGGAGAATTCAATAGGAAATGACAGGAAATTTTGCTCCCCAAAGACATGGGGAAACACCAGCTCTTCACTGGAAGTATTCCATGTGTTTGACTCTGAGATGTCAGCTTCTCCCATCAAAGCTCAAATACGCTTTCTTGACAGTTATAAGCAATAGGCATTGATCCATTCCAGACTTCTTCTGCCTTCTTCCTTTACTGCCTCTGTGGAGGGCAAAGTACTGGGGCTTTTGACACCTGCTCTGCAATTCACACACACTGTGGCTTTTCAGTGGCTCCTGAACTGCTGCACGCCTCAGCTTGGGGCTCAGTGAGATGGAAGTATAAATGGTTTTTTCTGGAGCACTGCTGAGATTTTCAGACCCCAAAGGCACTAAACATAGAAAATCTAGCTCTTTTTCTCTTTACACTTGTGAATAGGCTTGTTTCTAGTGGCTTCTTGTTTTGGATCTGACCTTGCAAGAGCCCACATCTGAGGAGTCAGTCCACCTACGACTACAGCACTGCTGGAGTACAGAGAATGACACTTCATTCAGTGGTAAGTGCCAAAAGTTTAGTGTCTTTACTTGTAGAGTTTTTTGGGTTTGGTCTTTTTTTTTTCCTTCTCTTTTTATTTTTTAGTTAAAGTCTAGGCAATCTATGTCTTAGTAAAAGTTCTGCTGATCAAGTGGACTCAGTTATAAAAGCATCCCCAGGGTAACACATCATTACTCCCCTCCAGAGCATCCAGTGCAGCACTGCTGCCAGCACCATTCTTGTAACCAGTTACTGTTTGTGGGGCCCACCCACAGCATCTTAGCCTGAGCCTACTGCAGGTCCCAGGAGTCACATGTGACATTTCAGGATACACTGTGGAATGAACATGGGAACAAGTATGATAGCAATATTGGAGAATCATCTAAAAAATACTATAACAATTATTATCTGGTCTCTAACAAGTTACTCATATGTTGTGCAAATGAATTCATTTTCAAACTGCAGTATTCGCATAGGAGGTTAGTACTAATTGTTTTATGCATGAATTTCCAAACAGTCTGACTAACATAACAAGCCCAGCAAGTCTTACTTTCTTTTTGATGCAGTTTCAATTTTTGTTTTGCTGTGCTACAAGCTTCCAGCATGGATGAGGATCATTTCAGTTTAAGTCATTCTAGACAACATAAATATTTCAGTTCATATTTTTCTTTTTTTTTTTTTTTTTTTAATTTACAACAATATGAACATTACCAGAAAGAGCAGATTGGGCAAAATCTATATAAACAGACTCTAGTAGATATGAGCAAACAACAGTTGGTGGAAGTACTAAAGGAAAATATGTAGAAGGCCAGATGCTCCAGCCTGTCAAAGCTGCTTTATTAGTCTCTAGATTTCCAGAGCAGTTCTTAATGTGCTTTAGTCTGACAAAGGAGAAGACTACTATGGTGTTGTAGAGTCTTTTTAGAGTTCTTTGGCCCCAGCCTCAAGGGCAGATAACATGACAGGTGGAAAGGGAACAAATATATAAGCCTTCATCTTCATTTCTCTTCATCTAACCTAAGAAAATTCATAACAAAATCCAAGGCTGTTGAGAGACAAGTATGAAAGCTCTAAATTAGAAATAATCAAATCTGAATTGTCATGAGTACTGTACCAGATGGTTGGGAAATTTAAGCAAATTTTCTTTAAGTCTTCAAACCAGTGAAGAATTCACAGGATAGAATTGTTATGCTTCTGCTATGGAGGGGGTCAAATTAAATGATCATAATATTCACAAACTGCCAAAAAGGCCCATGTAAAATAGCTTTACATTGAGTAAATGGATGACTAGTCCAGGACCACAGAGCAGCAAAGCAGCTTAGCGTACTTCAGCTTTAGCCTTCAGCCTCCTGCAAAGGACAGAGCGTTGGCAACTCCACCAGCCCGGTCCATGCCTATCCATCCAAGCTCTGCTCAGTAAGCTGGGTCTCTAGACCCAGGCTAGTGTGTCACATCCACTTTGTATGGATTAAGTGGCTACCAGAAGCAAAACGCAATGGAAATTGGGCCCCTGGCGTTGTATTCATCACTCTTCAGGGAAGAACAGAGAAGCAGGTGCCTAATAGCTGTTCTACACAGGGTCTGAGTGGCTGTTAAAAATATTTCTCACATGGGAGTGGGAAAAGTGTGGTTTTGCAGATTGTATTGTTGTAGTGGGTTTTTTTTCCCAAATAAATGAGTCACTAGACACTTGGCAAGTACCTATCTGCAAATCACTGGGAAGGAGAAGCAGACTCTGTAGTGAATATCAAGGCCTATTTTTATCTGTGTATGATTTCCAGCAGGGATATTAGCAAAAAGAGAGATAAGGAATGTCATGCAGCCAAGCGCATGGTATTACCACAGGCCCTCCATCTGGACCTGGGCCCACATTTTGGCAAACACTCCAAGCTCCCAAACAGAGATGGTAGATGAGAGCAGGAGTGGCTGGTTACTATTTCCAGTGCTACAGGTAAAACCTAACCAACTCAAAAACCAAGCAGAGTAACCTTTGCCTTTGCTAATTCAACTTCCAGTTCTCAATAAATCACACAAAAGAGGACTGCTCCCTATCTGAGAGAGCAGGTCACTGTTTGGTACCAAGAAAGAGCATCTGTCATCGATTCAAAGGTGGGAGTAAGCACTATATCTCTACAGAAGTAAAATATCATTGTGAGTTGTGGGTTTCCATAACCAAAAGGCCTCTAGGTAGGTGGAGAAGCAGCTGGCACAGATACGAGTGCAGACAGATAAGAGTTTAGGAATGGTATGTATCTATGACATTCAATCCACCCACTTATTTATTGCACACCGTGCAATATGTAGGTGGCATGAGATCCATCCTCCCACCCACGCCACGGTATGGTGTGTGGGACTCCTACCTCTCTATACTCTGTCTCTGTATCAGGAACAGGGATTTGCGAGACCTCCTTGCTGGAAGGGTGGTGTGCCTGGGGGACTGGCTGAGGGTAGATGGGTCTCTGGTTAGCTCCCTTTGACTCCCTGTTTTCCTTACACAGGGTGTCTTTCCAAGGCACTAAGAGCTTATTCTCCTTGCAGGCACTGCCTAGAGATGTGGGATTTCAGTGCCGTGGAGGGCCTTGAAAGAAGTAAATCTTTTAACAAGAGCTTTTTCCCCAGC